CGCCACTGACTAGCAGGAGAATGATGAGTCCTGTGCTTTTCTGGACTTGGCAGCCGACATGATGTTGTTATGTCCGGGATGAAATACTTTCAGTGGCCTTTGGATGTTGTTTCCCTCCTTGTAGCCATCATTGTGAACCTCCAGCTCTTCCTTCGATTTATTCTTCATTTAAAAGCCCTAGATCCATATTGGATCGGACAACGATGACGTCTCCAAAAAAAGTTGCCCCGTTGGGGCAGTTTTTTTGGAATCATTGACCCTTGTCAGTCGTTTGGCATCTCGTTTGTGCTGCGTTTGGTTTGTTAGCTCTCCTTGGTTGCGTCTGGTGGTGGTGGTGGAAGTGCTCTGTGGCGACTGTTGATACCTTGGTAGTCTTGGTTTTGTTGGTCAACCTACTCTCAATGATGCTCGTGGGACGACGAGGTCTTAGTGTTTGGTGCCCTTCGACGACACTTGAGGGTTCGTTACCTTTCATAGTGCTCAAGTGCACCCTTTCAATGACGGTAGTTTTTGGTGAGGCCAAGAGGAGGTGCATGGGCTGTCTCGGCGAAACTCATTGCCCTACGGCACAATCTGCCGCTCTCCTTGTCGCGACGTGGCTAGGCGGTGGGAGATCATTCTATAGTGTTTACAACGCTCCTAACTCTTCAAGGTGCAGAGTGATCGCAAGCCAAGATGGTGACTTCTTCTCTATGTCTTCTCGACATAGAATCTCCTTTCAACTGGTCTAATAAAGGCAGTCCCTGCTCTTCACAGTCTGATCTAGTGTTGATGGCTGTTATGTTCTTGCTGATAGCTGCTTGTCGCAGCTCGTTTCTGGTCCCCTCTCTCTTACTGGCCATCTCTCTCTCTCTCTCTCTCTCTCTCTCTCTCTGCACGCGCGCGTGTGTACGTGTGGGTGTGCCTTGTGCTACATTTTGTCTTAGGAAGTGAGAGAGAGGAGCTAAAAAAAAGGATGATTGGCTATATGACCACTTACAAAGTCACAATCACCAAACCACTAAGGGCATCTCTAACGCACGGTGCTTAGAGAGGCGCCAGGATTTCTTCCCTATTGAATTCCTGGTCGATCGGCTGTTGAGGCCTTCAATTCCGGGAGCCGAACGATGCGTCGACGCAAAGAGAAGCATCGCGCACTTCGCTCCTTTCTTTCATGCATGAGGCGCATGGCCAGTGTAATTAGCGTTCGATTAGCAACGGCAGTTAGCGTCTTGCGTTGGAAGACCTGGTCGCTTAGATGTTTTTCAATTTAATAATGTTTTCCTCTCCTCTATAAGCGGCTAGTCGCTTACATGTTTTTCAATTTAATAATCTTTTCCTCTCCTCTATAAGTGACTAGTCAAGTGGCGGGCGTTGTAGATGCCCTAACAATGATACATGCACGGCTTGGAAATCTCGATAATGTGCCCGTAAAAAAAACTACAATACAAAGTGAAGTATTCATCCAAGACTATGTTTTCCTCTCCAGGTTAAAAATTACGTTTTCTAGACAAGGTTAGAGCATCTACAACCGGACCTCTCAAACCCGTCCCATACGTCCGGGTGGACCGACCGGCCACTGCCTGGTCATGATTTTTTGACCCAGACGGGCCTTTCAAACGGCCCTCAAACACCCGAGCTGATCGGCACCCCCTATATCCAGCCCAAATATGTGGCGGATATGGGACCCCCGGGCCCGCCCGCCCCGTGGGATTGACGAAGGGGTCCCAGCCGAAAACGCCCTCAAACCCAGCGGTCCGAAGCTTGTCTCCTCCGTTGGACCGATGGCGCGGCTCCGGCAGGCAGCATAGTGCATTGCCCGGCTATTTAAGTCGACCCCCGGCACCGAAACCCTACCATCCATCCACATTTTCCTCCTCCTGTCCATCGCCGCCATCACTTTTCAATCCACCCGTTCGCTTAGTAGCCATGCCCCCAAGCTGCCGGGTGAGGAGTGAGCCCTTTCTGACGCCGGAGCGCTAGCTCGAGCTCCTTGAGCAGATCCGAGCTAGGCGCGAAGCCCGAATCGCCGCGGGGTTACCTCGGGATGCAGTTGACCGGAGAAGGAGTTGGAGAAGTAGGAGGAGGATGTGGGGACGCTGACGACGGGGATCTGCAGGCGGAGCAACATGCCATCCTCGATTCCCTCCGGTCGGAGTTGGCTGCAGAGGCAAGACGCCATCGCCGGCAGTAGATGGAGGCACAAGAGGCTGCAGAGGAGGCGGAGATGTTCGCCTACATGGATGAGGTCGAGCAGGAGGAGGATGAGCCGGAGCCCTCCTACCCGCCCGTCCAGCCGGCACCCGGCACCGTTGTCGTGGACATCTCCGACGATGAAGAGTAGCTAGGGCAGCACGTAGTTGTAGTACGTAGGATTACTTTTCAATGCTTTGTATGGATCTAGAGGTTGAAATATGAAAGAGGCGGATGCAAAGTGGATAATCTAAGGCGTTCAAGGTCAGAGCCCGCGGACGCGCCTGGGTGCATCTGCGGGCGTTTGAGGGGCCGGATTTGTAGATTCCGAATGTGCATGCTCATATGTATCAACCAATAGAAGAAACAGTCAAAACAAAACTACAAGGCGAAATGGATCCGCGTGACAAAAAAAAGAAAGGGACCACGCGAGAAACTGAAGCCCAGTGCGAATTTCATGAATATGGAAATGGGCTGAACAACCCAAAAAGGGGGAACATGCCAGCAACTGAAGCCTAGTTCGAAATTCATCAAAAACCGAAAATTTATCAAAGCCAGGTTTCGAGGTTATGGGCGCACCACGCTTTCGCCACTCTGATTGCTTTGTCAATCTTGCGAACTTCCGAACTTCCCTAAAAAAAATCCTGCGAACTTCCGAAATATGCGGCCAACATCTGGATTGCGGTTGAGAAAAACATATCTACCATGCACGGGATATCCCATGCATGTAGTGGCCGTTGATCATGCATGATTTAGATTCGTGTTCATGCATGCATGTCAAATGGGTCACATCAACTGGTCACTCTTTTCCACACTGTCAACCTTCCTTTTTCATCTCACCTCTCTCCTCCTACCATTCCATGCTTTTTCCTATGATTTTAATGTTAGAATCCATTTTATCTTTTGAATCGAAAATTTGATTTACAATTCGTTTGCATATTTGTGTTCCTTAAGATTAGGACTTTAAAAGAAGAACACTCTTGAGTATATTAAAAAAAATTGAATATTGGTCTTGTTTTGAATATCACCGTGGAATAAACACATTTGTCCAAATAGAATGTAAATCAAACTTTTGTTTCACAAGATATCAGGCATCTAAATTTACATAGAAAGAAATAAGAGAGGAGATATTTCTAGGATAGAGTTATAGAGAGGGAGGTGGAGCATGCGTGGACCTGATACTAATGGTTTTGACACACAACCTGACCACGGCGCCAGAACAGGCATGGGATATCCCGTGGTACTCCCTCCGGTCCTTTTTAGTTCGCATATAAGATTTGTCTGAATTCATGCCTCGTAAAGTTTGACCAACTTTATAGAAAAAAAATGCCAACATTCACAATGTGAAATCAATATCATTAGATGCGTCATGACTTAAATTTTCATATTGTATAACTTTAACATGGTAGGCGTCGATATTTTTTCATATAAATATGGTCAAACTTTATGAAGTTTGACTTCAGACAATTCTTATATTTAGAGTAAAAAGGACAGGAGGAAGTAGATAATCCGCTCTCGATTGCGGTTGCTCAGCTAGCACTAGCAGCTTGTAGTGGAAGCGGAGTTGCAGGAGTAGTGGTAGTAAATATTTTCACTGTACCACGTACGTTTGGTGGCCATACATGCCTCGAATTCTAAGTTACTTACACTTACCAGCAATTTTGCTTGACTGGTTCAAGGCTTCAAGCCTGCAACTGCCATTGAGATGCAGTGGCACCAAAGATTGAGTGTCGACACAGACGACTTTGAGCTCTTGACTCATGGTTTCCGAGCAGCTATTAGCTACACTCTTCAATGGCTGCACTGAAGGTTGTGATTACATTAATTACGTTAATCAAGATGTTCAGAGAATCTGTTGACCTGACACCCTTGTCGTTGTTGTCCGAGTACTTAACTAGGAGGAGTAACGCAGCCACAACCACAAAGAGAGATCGAATCATTTCTTCAGAAGTGAAGCTTGGAGAGCAGGTGCAGGACAGGGTAGTCGGATCGACCATGAAGCGGTCATCTTCTTCTCCGTCCTCGCTCGCACGCGCCATGGCAATCCTCCTGGTGATCGTGTGCTGCTGCTCCCTGCTGCCATTCCCATGCTCTGCCGTTTGCAAAGGTACGCAACCACCGCGTCAGTTCTAGTTCTTATATTTTGGAAGTGGATGTCCATTTTGACATATAATTTGTTGCGATGGCATCAGGGCGTGCATTTGGCGACTTTGGTCAGAGTGCTGGGGCCGGGACAAAGGGAGGAGATCAGGGGGGTGGGGTGCCAACGCCAAGGGGAGGAGAGGACCAATTTGATCATGGGGGTACGGGATTAGGAGGAGGGAACCAAGTAGGACGGGCGCCTCCGGCGCCGCGGGGTAAGACACCGAGGAACCACAGGTGATGTGACGACTCCTGCCATGGTGTTCATCTGGCGCCCCCGGCGGTTATTGGAAGCTGATGGCTGCTGGCGTTCCTAGGGGTGGTTTGGGATGATGCTTATCTTTGGCGCAGGTGCTGCCTTTCGATCGGTTGTAATTTCTGCTGCTGTCTCAAACTCTTTGGAACATTTGTATCACGTGCTAGTAGGTTTTTCTTCTTCTCATAGTTGTTGTTCGAGAGCGAACATTCACAATGGGTTTCTTATTGGTGCTTCAACTCGCAAGTCTCTTCAATATTTTTGTTTTTCTCGCCTTAATGCAAATGGGTGACTTCTTCTGTATATCTTCTTGGCGGCCGATCTCCTTTGTACTGATCCAACGGTATCTGATCCTGATTTTTCTTCAAAAAATAAAAATATGCTCAGGTTGGCTTTTGCCCGCTGTAATTGACTCAAAAAAAGAAAAGAAAAAACAGTCAGTCACCTCGACGAAATTTGAAGTTGAATTTTGTTCAAAGTAAATAGGGCCTTCTTCTTTTGCATGAGAACTTGCAAATTAAATGTAAATTTATAATTTTTTTGTATGACATATTATTTCCATGCGAAAAGGTTTATACTAAAATAAAGATTCACCGGAAGCACAAAACAGCACAAACATAATTAAAAAAATACATCGAGGTCCATGGACCACCGAACAACCTTTGCCGCCGCCAGAACGAGCCGCCGATGTGCCACTGTCACCGCTCCCATGCTGAAGTTGACTTGATCTTATCGATGACAGCCGTGAAGTCTTCATACACGTGCCCCGAAGGACCAGCGCCCCAGAACCGCAGTCGTTGGTGTTGAATCCTTGAATCGATCTTAAGAACCCGACATCAAATCTCACCATTGTGTATGCACGACAAGAAACCTAACATGCGACACCAGAAGCTGGCAGGAATCTACATCGGAGCTCTATCTAATCCACACAATTGGACGAACTTGAGGAGGATAGGAGCCTGGAAGACTATATCAAAGAAGAAGCGCCGCCGTCCGTCCGAACAAAGAAGTGGGCCCGCATGCCGGCAAATGTCTACAAGGAAACCGAAGGCCCAACTCCCCATTCTTTCTATCTTACATCGCCACGGAACTATTCACGGCATATCACACATTTCCATTTTGTTTATACCTTTTTCTTTTTCTTAGAATGATTTTATGCTCTTCTGATGCACCTCGCAGGATATATAAGCATGGAATATTTGTTGGTTTTTTCCTATTACTTTTTCCTATAGTCTATTATTATATTGTTTTTCTTTCCTTCCATTGATTCTTTGGTCAAGAATTGTCTTCAATTTTTTTTATTTTGGCCTGATTGAAATTAAGTGGATGCAATGAAAAAAGATTGACGAAAACCCTACCTATCAACTAGCCGGAGTCGAGGGACAACGCCCTCTTCCTGCGACCGGCAGTCGGAGCGGCAGGCAGAGTGGAGGTGGATGGATCCATGGGCTTTCCCTAATCGCCTTGCTAGAGGGGAAAGAAAAGCAATTTGTTTTACCGTATGATAGATGTATACTTATTTGTGGACCGAGGGACAAATGCATGGCTTGAAAATTTCTACAATGCCACCACAAAAAGAATCTACAATACTCGAAAAAAAAGTCAAACGGATTGATCCAAGACCTTTTTTCTCAGGTTAAGAATCAGTTCGAAAGATGGATGAATAGAAGAAACGGGCCAAACAATCCTACAAAATTGAAATGGACGACACGAAAAACTGAAGTCCAGTTCAAAAGTCATCAAATTGAAAAATTAGCCGAACAACGCATAAAATATCACAGCCCAGCAAAAACAATTCAGCCCAGTGAGGACAATATTCCGCTGTGGCACTCTGATTTTCTTATTGATATTGTGATGTTTATTTTTCTTATCGGTGAACTGCCATGCTGCTCCACTTACTACAACGCAGACTTGCAGTATACTTGCAGTATACTTGCATTCAGGTCCCATGAGTCCGATTCATGCCACAGATCAAAACACACACACACACACACGCTGCTCTCAGAAACCTAAAGGACATTCCCTCTACCCCCTACTAACGACAATGCCGCCCTAATTGCACCATCGCCGTCCACCATTGCCCTTCCATCGCTCAAGATATCTATTTAGGACCCCTACCCATCCCCTAGGTCAATAGCACAATAAAAGATGGTGAGAATCGCCACCATGGTCCTCGTCCAATTCCCATGATGGAGATGTCACCTTAAATTGCCCCAATATTGGGAACCATGGACCTACCGTCCACGAGCTCAGCCTCCACCTACCCTAACTCAGAGGAGTTTGTGGCGGGGAGGATGCTCACAAATGGTGCGTCGACAGAGTTTGAGCCGCACGAGCTCACTGAGATGGAGGTCGAGTAGGAGAAGACCAAGCTCGATGAGGAGATGCATGAGCTCACCCTATTACACTTCATTCAGATGTCCTGCGGCTAGGAGTTATAATCCCCAAGTGCAAAGAATTGTCGTGCCACTTTTCAATGTGAAGATGGTAGTGTGGAGTAGTGGTGGTAGATGTCGCGGAATTGTCCCTAGGCAATTGGCTATGATATTAGGCTGATATTCATGCATTGCAGTTTTATACTAGATCATTGATGGCGCGCGTTGCTGTGCCAGTCAATTTTAGTGCTTTATTTTTTGTGATTGATACCACTATTTAGAGTGATAGTATTTTTAACCTCTTTATTGTTCTATTGACATTGGCGATTCTCAGTAGCTTTGTTGCGTACCATCACGTGCATGAATAATGATGTCCATTGATGGGGATTTTTACACTGTAAATTCATCATTACCGAAAGTCTCGATCCAATGGCCAGAAACGCTAAATAGGCTGAGATGGTTGGATTAGTAACACTCCAAAATAAATAATAAAAAGAGAAGACGCAGACTTGCAGTATACTTGCATACCGAGTGAGCATCTCAAGTAGACAAGTAGTACAACTGCTCAGCTAGCACTAGCAGCTTGTAGGAGTCGGAGTTGCTGGAGTAGTCATAGTTACCAGTATCTTTCCTTGACTGTTTCAAGCCTGCCACAGCGATTAAGATGCACTGACAACAAAGACTGAGTGTCGGGCACAGACAACTTTGAGCACTTGACTTGACTAGATCATGATTACATTAGGTTAATCTAGATGTTCAGACAATCTGTTGACTTGACACATTTGTCATTGCTGTTAGAGTACTTAAAAGGAGCAGTAACCCAGCCACAACCACGAAGAGAGATGGAACCATTTCCTCAGAGCTGAAGCTGGGAAGGCAAGGACATCTTATCGACCATGAAGCGGTCTTCTTCCTCTCCGTCCTCGCTCGCACGCGCCATGGCAATCACCCTGGTGATTGTGTGCTGCTGCTCCCTGCTGCCATTCCCATGCTCTGCTGTTTGCAAAGGTACACAACCACGCGTCATTTCCAGTTTATATATTGTGGAAGTGGACGCCCATTTTGACATATATTTTGTTGCGATGGCATCAGGGCATGCATTTGGTCAGCGGGCAAGGGAGGGCCCAGGGCGAGGGGGAAACCAATGGTCAGGGGGCTGGGGAGGGGCCAGGGGAGGAGGAAACCATTTTGGTCAGTGGGGTGTGGAGGGGCCAGCGGAAGGAGGAAATTTTGGTCAGGGGGATGGAGAGTGGCCAGTGGGAGAAGGGAATTCCGGTGAGACGTCTGCTGGAGGAAACCATGTAGGTCGGATGCCTCCGGCGCCTCGGGGCAAGACACCGTGGAATCACAGGTGATGTGATGGCTCCTGCCATGGTGTGGATCTAGCGTCCCGGCATTTACTGGACACTGCTTGCTGATGGTCTTCCCGGAGGTGGTTTGGGAATGATGCTTCTATCTTTAGAGCAAGTGCTGCTTTTGGTTGTAATTTGTGCTGATTTGTGATCCCCAACTTTTTCAAACATTTGTATCTCGTGCTAGTATGTTTTTGCCCCATACTGGTTGTTCGACATCAAACATTCTCAGCGGGTTTCTTAATATTGCTTCAACTCGCAAGCCTCTTTCATATTTTTGTTATTCCCCTATCCCTCGTTTTTGGCCGCTTGTATGAATTGGTTATTTTTCATAAGCAATTAATGAAAATGGGGCTAGTTCAGTTGCAGAATAAAACAAAATGAAACTACCGAATTCGTTCATTGAGGCGACCCTGTTGACCGGCACACATGCTACTCATGTACGATCATGGGTAGGGCTGGACCAAAAGCTCGTAACTCGTGAGCTTAATGAGCACTCGATAGTTCAGCTCGTCAAACTAGTAGCTCGCTTCTTAATGAACAGAGCCAATCATTGATTTCAGCTCGTTAAGCTTAAGGAGCTTAACGAGCGAGCTAACGAGTTTCACAAATAGCTCGTTAAGCTCGTTAGTAACACCACAACACATATTCTTATCTTATGTGACAAACTTTTGTAGAACCTTAGCCCATCTATTCAATCTAATCGACATATGGGGCAACAAACTACTGCATTTCTTTTTGTAGTGACCATATTTCATATTGAAAACAACACCTACACATATTACCTCTCTGTGTGAAACTGAATGTAATCTGGGTTGAGCCCTGTTTTTAATACACTTGGATTTGGATGTTACCTACAAAACAGATCTACAAAGTCAACCTTTATAGTGACGTACGTATGTGTTAGCATACGTACATACTTTCTTCGTTTCAAAATAGATGACCCAACTTTATACTAACTTTGGAACGGAGAGAGTATGTATTGGCCCCAGTATTACTTTCACCCGTATATGTCCTTGTGTAGTGACGTGCATGCATGCAGACCGAGCCGGTGGGGGACGGACACCTCCGTCTCCCCGGGGCGGGCCGGTGCACCAAATGTGCCCGGACTGCGACCGCCTGGCCCGCACGTCGCCGGTAAAGATATGTCGCATGCGCCGCACCGGAAGACTCCGCTGCTGGTTCGTACACCAAACACTACACCGTAAGTCTGTAAGATCGCCGGTCCATCTCCCGCGGTCGCGTTCGCATGGTGTCC